TGAAGAAGAATATTTCTTGTAATTGAATCGAACGGTTGATCAGACCAGCAACCAGCCGAATACAATAATTGAAATGAGCGTTCCATTCCAGTCATTCCTGTGTATTGATCGGGCAATGGATGAGATGTTAGTGCATGTAACAATGCTGAATAGAGATATCCTGTTGGACTATCAGTCGGTTGAAGAATACGTAAACGATCATTTAATGTAAAAACAAAATATTCATGAATAAATGATGTTTCTAATGATTTTCGCTCTATAGTTACAATTTGATGGTCGTTGTTAGAGTTCTTCTTTGATTGAAGTTGCCCGAAAGGGACAATTAATTTTCGACAAAGATAATGCTTATTTTCATGATTTACTTTTGCTATTGACGAAAGAAGAAGACCAGATTCCAAACCAGTCAATGTTCCAAACAATTGATTTTCATCGATATGCATATCGGAATACTCACGAGACGTTATGATCTTGTTTTGAGCGTCATATTTGAAAGCAATGCCTAATCGAGATAGATGAATATGAAATATCGTAATACCCTCTCTTAACATGTACACATATGACTCTTCATCAAGACGTTTGAAATACATTGTAAACAAGTTCTGAAAGAATTGTGATGATGGATTAATCAGATTTTGTCTATTTTTAGTGTTGCACGTTCTAATAAATCCATTTTTCAGTTCTAATATATAATGTTTGTCAGTTAAAAAGTTAGGATCTAGGAAATGTATAGACCGAAACTCAACAATTTGATTCTTTTCATTCCACCAATGACTGTAATTTGAAACTAAAATATCAGGTAGTTCTGTTTCAAAACAACTTGGAGGTATTAATTCGAATTTATCATTTGTTTCCATGTGTCGTTCATAGACTATTAAATACCCGTCAAGATTATTTCCATCATTAAAAGTGAACTCATAATGAGTTTTTCCATTAGCATGGTATCCATATTTTGTGATGTAGGTTTTTTCTGATTCGGATGGTTGTACTTCAAAAATATGCTGACCAAATACACGAGCGAATAAATTATCTGAAGTTATTTTATCCGGTAAAAAACCGATACTTAGTTCATTAACAAAAAACCTTCCTCGTACACAGTCAATCGATATTTTATTCGATTCATATACACCATCATACCAACCATCATATTTATCTTTACTTCTTTTCTTCCATAATCCCTTCATATTGTCCTTACTTCGTAGAATTACCCAATATAGAGAGCAGAATTCATTTAAACTTTCATAGGAAGTTTTTTCAAGAAGTTCGCTTACAAGTGGTTGTATTGTTACTAAAATACGTTCTTTAGAACGCAGCAAATTTCTCATAAATACACTCATATTTGTACTTTTCTTGGTTAAAATCATATTATCATGAACAGTTATTGATATATTCAATAAGAAAATAACATCTTGATTTGATAACTCTAATGAATTGCTGGTATCAGCATAGATTGAAAATGTTTGTAAACATGCAATACCAATTATAAAAATTTTATCACGCAATGTATTCGTATTATCAGAATCCAGTGAAGATGGATTTTGAATATGTTTCGAAATAGCTTGAATCCATTTTTCACCAAGTCGACGACATTTAAAAACTAAATTAGTCATTTGCTTTTTTCTTGTTGAATTACAAAGACTAAACATTCTCATGACGATTATTGTTATAGTTATTAAGATCAATTCTTTTTGCCAATTACATTCACAATCTTTCAAATGACGTTCTATTCTTGTCATTAATTCATCTAGAAAATGATCTTCTAATAATTGTTGATGTGATTCTGGACACCATCGATTGAGAAGGGAAGTTGGGTCGTCTGTTACTGGACCATATTGCAAAAGTGCATGTGTAATGAGTATTGCAACACTTTCTTCATCCATCGATAGAGAATCTGATTCAAGAATACTTAAAAGATTCCACCATTGTAAACGATGACCAGAACGAAATGAACCAAACTCAACAAATTCTGCTACTGATAATTCTTGTGAACACTTTGACAGTTCAGCTATAACACAATTTTGAACGAATTTTGTATTATCAATAGAGAATTGTAAATCTTTGTAATTTGGATCTGTTAGTTCGGGAGTTAAAATTCGACATTCTTCTGAAAATTCGATTGTTTTAGTTGGAGAGATTTCAACCGATAGAGCACTCTCATAAAAGTATCCTTCCAATGGTGTATTTATGACCTTTCGTGCACCTGAATAACGACTTTCTGATATCGACTTAACGGTAGATACTAATTTCACTTTGGAATGCTTTGGGCCTTTGTAGAACGGTTGAAGTTTTGTACTATGGGGACGTCTACTTAACCATTCGTGCATTTGATGCGACGGATTGGGTTTAGGACGATTTATGAATTGCCAAAGGATGTCTCGATAACATCGGATTTCAATTGGCATTTGTAATTCGAACATAACAGCTAAAGCTTTACTTTCGTCTGCTGGTAATGGACATTCATAAATGTTGACTGTTATATTCTCCGCTTCCTTTATAGTATTGCATCGATCGCATTTCAGAAGAACAGAAAACTGATTCAATTTACATTGACATATAAGATCATTGGCTTTTTTCATGAGTTGTTCACATTCTTTTTTGGCTTTATTTACTTCTTCTTCTTTATATTCTTTATCTTTTTCGATTTGATTTCGAAGTTTTTGCAGATTTTCCTTGATTTCCACTGATTGTTTAGCAAAATAAACTCCAAAAGCATCTTGCGAATCAATATTACTTAACAGATCTGGATATTGTTTTCCATTGAATTCTCGAA